TAGATTTTCTGAGGTATGCCAAACCCAATGCAAAGGCCAGCTGTTATGGGCCTACCAGACCTATCCCCACAGAATTAAACACTTTACTACTGTTTAATTCTGTGTGGTTGGGGAAGGTTAGGGTTAACTGTGTGACACAGGTATGACAATAAATGTGTGTTCCTATGAAAAATATTTGCTCATGCGTGAAATACTGATTGGTTATTGTGGAGAGGTCACTGGATTCAGTACAGGATTATGTAAATTTAAGCAATACTTTACTTGTTTAAAATATTTGAGTGGAAAAAAAATCCTGTAGCACAAAATTCACAAATGAACAAACTCACAATACGTTGCAATGTGCTCTTAAAAACTAAATTTAACTTTACTATTATCAATAAACTTCTTCAACCATTAATCTTGTACCCCAAACTTGTAATTCAGAAAATGGGAAAAAATTGCACTACTTTCAAACAATGTACATTAAAGTACAATATTCCAAATATTAGGTTTCCTTACCATATAAAATCAGGAAATTGTGAAGTCTTGTAACACAAATACATTACTTAGTGTAATGGACACTATTGATAAGAATTTCCACATACATGTATCAAGTAAACACTGATCCTCACATGTAAGTATTGCATTCCTCAAAGTTTTAGGTTGTTGAACAGGCATAGCCAAGATGGAGCTAGAGATTACTGCCATATTGGGTAAAAAACCTCTTCTTGAGGACAATCAAAGTGGATATGAGACACTTGCTGAGCTCCGAACCCCAACCTGTTGAATTAACCCTAAAAAATATGTACCTACAAATTGAATGATATTCCTCAATTTTGAAATCTGTGCTTGCTGTTCTTGCTCTTTGGACAGCTTTCAGCATTGGAAAGAAAATAATCCACCGAGTCTCTTTATGAATGAGCCCTCGGAGGAGTAGTAGTTTAGGCTTCTGAATTTTTTGTCATTCTAAGCCCTGCAATTGGCCATTTTTTTCCATTTCATGCATAGGTGAAAATCTACAACCAGTGTCTCACATGATATTTAACCAACACTCTTAGTAATTCTTGTGAATATATTATTCTTTTGTCAAAACTAACTCTTAGAAAAAGTAACATATATCTTGGCACTGAAATCGTCACAAGTACGTAGATGTGCACAACCTACATGTGTCATAAATACGCCCTGATGTTTGTTTGTTATGTAAATATTATGTTACAGGACAAGAGGATGTGTATTGTCTAGCAAGATTGCAGGCTTGGATATCCATGCGCATATCCAGGCCTACTGATATTGCATGAAATCTGAACTCTGTGAAATCCGGACTCTACGACTGCAATGCACGTGACAGTGAGTAATGCAAGGGACGGGGAAGCACACTGAAGGAAACAGAGACCAGATTTTAATTGAGGGCTAGATTTCATAGGACACTGACACTTTTTTTAACCCAAACTTTTAGTAACGACCAAAATTTGGAAAACTGGTGGGAAAAAATTCTTTCACCGCTAATTACATGTAGAATTTAAAAGAAAATTTTTGTTTGTAGATGGGGGAATTCACCTGTACGGCAACACTGAAACAAATCCTGTATCTTCTTGTATTAAGAATCCAATCCGAATAAAATTTCCACATCAGATGTTAAAACCGACATGTACATGTACACACAAGCATGATGTCACAATGTGATAGTAAGTTGGACTTTAGTTTAGAAAAGGCCATTCACACTTTAATTATACCATTTAAATGTACAAACATCCTGGGACTGAGTACTGCAGATTACATGTACACACCAAACTAAAGAAACTGCTTCAAATCTTCTCACCCTACACTGTGGGTTTGTAACATTCTTTCATAGAACTTACACTCGTAGAATTATTTCATAGAGTAACGTAGACTTTTTGAACAAATTAGACTGATCATACAAAAGAGCAGTTAAATAATCCTCAGAACTAGATCATTCTTTCAAATTCTTAGGCAATGCAACAAACAACTGGACGCCAAACTTTTGTTTATATTTAATGATCAGTAAAACACAGCACAAGCACACAACATGAACATCAAGCAAAAATCAATGCACGGTACTATTCTCTGATTTAAACAAAACCATTACGAAAAGATCAAATTTTTAACAAACTAAATCAATCTTGCGGTAAACTTTACAGAGTTGCAAGAAAATAAACAACTCTTCTATTGTGCTCTACAAATGACATGTTTGGTTATCGGAGTTCCATTCCAGTTTAAGACCGAATTAAAGCAACAGGCCTTTCGTCACCATTTTGAACTGAACACAGCCTCAACATCATACAGACAGAAAGTCCAGCATGTTGTTGTCCTAATGATGAACTTTCAAATGTACACATACTTGATGGCTGGACCAATCAGAGAACAGGAAAGCTGAATTGACAGTGCACATACATGTAGCAACCACAGTCATTGAAAAGTTTTGACAGCAATGTTATTTCTCATATATGGAATTAGATATTTTTTCAATCATTTTATAGGTATGAGTGTGTGTTGGCTAGTTAGGTCAGTACCCTACAAATATTTTGATTCTGACAACAAAGCTTTAGAGTTTGCACCGACCATTTCAGCAGTTTGCAAATTGAAAAAAATTCCAAACAGGCTCGGTCACTGGTGACTATTGTAATGCACTACTAATACAAAAGAGGTCATAGAAACTTTGAGAGACTAAAATTAGTTAAACTTCTTTAGTCTGTTGCCTACTTCTTAAGTCATACTTCAAAGACTACCTGGAAATTCTTGGAAAGAAACATTACAGTTACTGAGTCAGTCGATCGTTGACCTCCAGCTCACAGCCATCCTGCATGAGCTGAATAGCGATGTTGGCGATGTTAATGGCATCATCTATTCCCCGGTGGGGCCGGCCATCGAATCCCATCTCTAGGGCTCCTAACATGTTCCTGAAATTAACCAAACATGTACAGTTCTTGTCAGATGTTTGGCTACCTTATGATTTGTGAACTGGAACTGTTTTATCTGTCATTGACCCATAACCAAGGATTCACGTGAAAAAATTGGCATTACCTTAAACACATCCGTTTAGTCTTGTAAAAGTTACTGAAGGTCTTACAAAGGTTAATCCACTGACGTGCATAGGCTGGGTAGGGAACCTGGCTCAACTTACACTGTACATTCAAATACATGTTCATGTCCCAAGGTCTAAAAAGAAAGACAAGACATGCCGAGGTTACGCCAAAGAATCAGCCAAACTCATGATATGCATCTGGACTGTAATTGAAGTGAATCCTAATATGATGTATTTCTGGCGATGCTCAATTCTTCAATCTTGTCAGAGTAGGAGTTAGAGTACCACCTACTGCAAGGAAGATCAAGTGAGCAATGACCTATGAGCTGACTCAGAAATAGATCACTCGACTTGGGAATGTGCTGACAACACTGTTTGCTTCCACTAGAAAATGCTGTCATCCAAATCAAGCATTCTACGCTAAAATGAAATTGTTAGAATGTTTTTTTAGTTTACCCATCAGTAACAATTATGAAACTGTGCTCGGTCCCCAAGGCTTTGCTCTTCATCCATCGATGGACACCGTTCAGCACCAGTGGGAACGTATCTGCTTGGTCCACCTCGACCTGAGGATTTAAACAGAAGGAAGTAGAGGCAGAAAGCTAATCTTTGCCCCCAGAATGTTTGGTCACAACACACTGGAAGCTGAAATCTCTAGGACCCCAATTCCACTTGTCACAAGATACCCAAAACGGTGAGAACATTTATTCCAAAAACCACTTGAGTCATCTTATTTGTGAGACACACTGCTCCAAGATTTACTGTCAGATTTCCCCAGATTTTCTTCCAGTCTTAAAATCATTCAATTGATTTGGATAGATAACTGAGCAGGTTTACTCCCCAATTTTCCTTTTCTTTTTACATGGTCACAAAACATCAGAATAAAGACACGAAATTCTCTCTTCTACCTGTGTGATGCTTGTTAACTCCTTACAGAATTTGGATAACGTGGGGTGCAATAAAGGCTTGATGAAAGAATTAAAACTATCCTCCTGCGGCAAAAGAACAGTTGTAAAGCCAATTTAGTAATTTGCATTTTAAATAACTTGCCAGAGCAATTAATAATGGATAAATGCAAAACAAAACCAACACTGACTGTTTTCACCTTCATATTAATTATCAACACATATTCAAACTGTACTTTTTCATCTCTTCTCTTCAACAATCATGAATCTCCAATGTGATATGTCATTTGCTTCACTCACAATTTTCATGGTCTTGGTATTGACCAACACAATTGGATACTCAATGATCTCTTGGATGTAATCGATAGGTGTGGGCTCCTCACAAGTAGCCTCAAAGTCAATGACACACAGGTAGTCAAAGTTCCGCTGGGTAGACGGTGTTTCTAGCCCTGCCTCACTCATGAGCAGATTCTTGTAGTAAGTCTTCAGTCTGGCTCGAAGAATTTCACCGATACCTCTACACATTGATAAGACAGACCGACATGCAATTACCCTCCTAAGTCTGCATTCTTCCTGTTAGTATACAATCACTCCTGTCACAAGTACCGAGCCAATTTCTTTCCTTTGCTGCGAAGAATTTTTATTTCAGTGGATAAAAAAATTTTGCAAACTGGTTCTGCATCGAGTATGTACATGAACTCAAAAGGGTTGTCATCTCAAGTAGCTAGGGCTTTTCTATTGTCTTCCTTAATTTAAATAAATGTGTGTTCATGCAGACTTCTAAAATGTTGTGAAAATGCCCAAACTATTTTTACTAAAAAATATTAAATCTGTTTTCTGTTTTAACCATGTCAATGCCATATTTTTATAACGTTAAATGAAATAATGTTACACAGTGTGCCTAGCTTTATACAATGTCTTCCTGGTGTAATCTTTTACCTTGTATTGAGATTGAGCTTGGCCAGAGTGTCTATCATTTCCTCTTTGCTCATGCGGTTGATTTCACCATTCTTTCTGGAGATAGCTCGGTAAATGGGATTACTCAGATCTTTTACATACTTTGTGTCTGGATAGGTCAGGCAACTATTCTGCAAGAGTAACAATGAAAAGGGAAAACAGAGATAAAACAAACTACAGTAAATCCAAATTAAGTGTGACATACAGTACGTGGGTATGATGAATGAACCTTCGTGACCTTGAATATGAACTTTGTTAGATTCTTGCCTTTATCATGTTCACCTTTCTTGTCTTTAATAGGGGCATGCATAAATGAGTGTGGGAATGTTTATTTGGACATCCATTTTCTTATAAAAGGAAACAGTGATTAAAATTCATCCTTTTTTGCATGCTGTAGCTCCTCTATTTAATTTCCAATTTCAAAATTTTTGAAATTCAAGTGAAGCCAGCATTTGATTCATTGAAATAAGGCACAAATAAGAAAAAAGATTTTACAAAAATATGAATTCTGAGCTTTTCAGTTAAAATCCACACTCATTTTTGTGTACAAAATAATCAGTTTGCTCTGACCTGCATTACACATGTACAAAAAAGTCTCACAACATTCCTGCTTCAAACCAATTTTTCTTTGCTCTGCAGAGTCTGACGGAATCCAAATTTCTAGAAAAACAGTTCTAGTGACATTCTCTCTAAGATCACTTCAAAAATAAAACAGAAAAAACATTCAAGTTAACTTATGGAATACACGAGTTGCAAAAGAACAGACAGAAACTTCTGCATTGAACTTTTATTACCACTAACACTATATATAGGTCTACTTTCAATAGTGCTTGGAGTTGAATCTTGAAATCTACAGTCTTTGAAATATGAAAACACGAAACACAACGAAAATTGGGTTGAAGGACTATCATTTTCTCACTTTCATATTCGGCGCACTGACATACTCCCTTCCCTTGCCATCCAACGAGTCCGCAGAGAGCTCTGGTTTTCTCTGTAAATCTGCCATCGCCATACTGCCAAATGTCCCATTGACCGCAGACTCTCCCAGAAGTTTCTTCAAGCGAAAACTCAGCGTTGAGTTGGCAGGCCAAGGAGATAGGCGCGACCCGCGCTTACTCGACGGGCTTTCCGTTTTCCGCATGCACCGCCAAAAGACAAAATAAATCACTGCGAATCCGACTAGAAGGCCTACAACAATAGCAGGAAGGGAACTATCGTACATCTTACACTGTGACGCTTTCGAAACCTGCAAGAATTTGGGGAAAGCATAGCGATTTTATTGAGGAAGGAAGCGTTCACACACTATCTTTCACTTTTGGAATGTCCGCCATGTTTATTTACTCATTTTTGTGAAACGAAAGAGGGCGCAATGCATTTGTTTTGCAAAGCAGCAGCACAGCAGGCAGACCAAAATCATGGCATCTGATATCACATCTCTCTTTAAAGCTTCTGTAAAGACTGTTCGGACGAGAAATAAAGGCCTCGTTGGTGGAAAGGAGGCAGGAAACAGCTCAATTTTGAGCCATGCCAGAAATAAAACCGAATTTGCAACCAGGGCGAGAGATGTGGTGAGTAACTATTGCCACGACATGACGAAGTTCCACGTTGGCACTAGGCCAGTACGACTTCACATCATGGACAACGTACCGTAGCGTAGATTTGGACCCTTGATTAAATTTATTGTATAATTAAAGTTTAAAGCGTGCACAGTGGAATATGATCTTATTATACATAAAAATAGGGAATGCTGCTCAACTCCGTACACATGCCAACTCGTACACTGATCCACTCGCACGCATGCCAATAACAGTGAACATGTACACCTACCAACTCATACATCGACCAACTCGTACGCCAACCAACTGATACGCCAACAAACTCATATGTTGTGTAGTTGCATGCGTAGTTTAGTTTATACAAGCATAATCATGTTCTAGGAATAAAGTTCCGCCTTCTGCAAATGTACAAAAAGTAGAGACTTAAGCTTTTTAGATGCTCAAGATACCGGTTTATGAAGTGAGAGTTTCACAGAAGAATGTACATGTAGGTTTTCTTTCCAAGTAACCTGGACCAATGAAAAAACTGGAAGTTGGATTTTGAAATTTACATCATGTACATTTTGAATTATAAATTATCTGATGATTTCAACTTTGTCTCCCTGTGTTGAATTCTTACCTGGTTTCAGGCCAACAACATCAGTAAGCTGAAAGACTTTCTGTTACAGCATCGTAAGGACTACATCAATGCAGCCAGGTAGGAGCACTGAGACACCATAGAATAATGTCTGTCCATGAACAGGCGGCACAAGCACACCATCAGTGATGAATCTCCACATTACTGCCACAGACTTTATTCATGGGACTGGTCATATTGAATTTGAAAGCAAGGTTATATCTTCATTTTTGAATGTTGAGGGTACAAATGAAGAAATAAAATGACAAATTTTCATGACAAATTTGCATCTGTCTACTCTGATAAATAATTTCATATTCATGATTGAACATACAGAATTGTTCCTTGCCAGATTCTGAAAATTACTGAAAGGGAGGCTTGGAATGCATGAAAATTATAAAACAGTCTGGTGCCATCCTAATCGACACTTTCCAATACATAAAACAGATTTGGGGAATAAGATAAAAAAAAAAGGCCTCCACGTGAATAGGCTCTATTGTTGGATGTGCTACTTGTGTGTACAATAACGTGACAGACAGGCAAGCCAGCAAAGCCTGTTTCTGAGACATGCTTATTAGGGCTGTTGTCAGCCTGTGCCCACTTGTTGCTGGCAGTCGGCAAAGACCCACTCAGACATAGCTCTAGACATGAGGTGTAGACACAGCCAAAGCGACATTTCTCTGCAGGCGAACCAAGGAACTGCCAACCAGACTGATTCTTTCTTGCTGATTGGAAAAATTTCATTCATCCATTCTGGAATAATGAACTCTTCTCTTTATTGCAAAAACATTGTATACATGTGTATGTACATGTAGGGTTCTGCTGATGATGGCACTGACTGTCTTAAATAAGAAAAGCTACAGTTATCTTTCAGTTTGCCAATTAAAAGTTAATAGAATTTATAATACACACCCTTCTCTTCTAATTACAGCATTTCCTTTGAGCATTGTTTGTAATCCACATCGATGGTGCTTTTTCAGTTGCATGACACTGTATTGATGTTTCTTGATGATGTGACCTGTTACTGTTCCATTTGTCTTTCTTCTCTCCCCTGTTTTAGTCACTTAATTTCAGACACCAGCGGCATGACAGATGCTGAGAGGGATCAGATTGACACTGATGCCCAACAATTCATGAGAACCTGCTCTGAGACTATCAGGATGTTCAAAGAAGAAGGTTGGTCACCATTGGTTGGGCAGCTTGTGTTGTAGCCAAGTACTTTCTCACATGTATGATTACTGCATACAAAGAGTTGGCTGATTTTGAATTGCTGCCAGCTCAGTTATCTCACCCATTGTTGGGAAATAAACATGTCAGCTTTTTTGGGGGGCAAGTATTATGAGCTAATAGTAGGATTACTGGAACTCATTCTTGGGTGCAAGTAAACACTCAGATGTATGATTGTTTTTTATTGGCTTCTGTCGGTTGCTTTTCAAGAGCTTGTCAGAGATTAAGAAACTGGAACTTACCATACCATCAGGGATCATGGCACAAGTTTTGCACTTTGGGTCATTCAGAAACTTAATGTGATTCCTTTATCGCACTTTTCAAAACAGTCACTGTTGTATCGGCAAGGTAAGCTTTAATTATCCAGTTGTAAGCGTTGTTTTCCTGTACCCAATTTTAGTGCTCAAGCAGACCGTGTCAGCCCAGGTTCGATCACACAGGGAAGCTGTCTTTGAATTGCTACAAGACTATCTTAAAGGCAAGTCTCTTCCTTCAATTTTTTTTTTCAGTGGAAGCAACATTGAGCACCGTCTCTGATGTAAATCAGGAAAAATTACCTTTCATTACATTTCAAAATTTCATCTTGTACCTGAAACAAATCTGTACCAGGAAGTTAAGCATTGAAAAAGTCCGACAAAATACTGATGGATAAAGACTAACTGAGGAACAACAAACTTAACTGGGGCTTTCTTCATCTATTTTCAGCTGTTTGTAAGCTATACAGCGAGCAGAGAGCGGTTCGTGTTAAGAGAGTAGTTGAAAAAAAACGAATGTAAGTTTTTATTATTCTGATTTGCACATGATTTTACCCAGCAAAAACATTGATTCAAGCAGACATAGGTTAAGAGAACCTGTAACAGGCATATTCAAAGTTACACATTAGATCATGTCCACATGATTGGCCATGTTCTCTGCTATTTATGCCTTTTTCCAACCAAATGAGCAAGTCATATCTGTGATGTCTCTTTTAGGCCACTGTATGTAACATGGTAACTCCATAGTCATGCGTACAGCCATGTTGAATACTTTGAAGTCACGTGGTTCTTTTCTTGGCTCATGGTGGTGAACATTGGTCACTGCCCTTACTCTCAGCTGTTTGTACCTACAAGTATGCCAGTCATTCCAAACAGTTCATTTGAATGTCATGAGTCTGATATCCTTGACACAATGAGACGAGCATGCCATGGAATGCTTGTCACTCAACTAGAGGTGTGCATTTTGGGGCATTTTTGGAACCTGGTACCTGTTTTTTTGTCATTATCGGTTTCCAGAGTACCCAGCACAGGCCTACACTCAACCACATCTTAATGTTGGTTTGCTGCCTAGAGACATTTCTGTGCTTTGCTTTGTTCAGTTCTAGACTTCAGCCCAATCAACCTGCTCTTGCCAACAGTCTGCATCCGCCAGCCACCAGTACTCCAGCCAAACCGACACAAGGTCAGTGTGAATTTTACTTACCTGGTAACCTGGGTTTGAATCTCACCCCAATGCAATTTCTGGGTTTTCAAGTCGTTGGTTTTTTGTGAGGAATTTCAAGAGAATTAGCGTGCGTTTTTCTCTTCCAGCTTCAGACTCAGAGTTTCAAGCACCAACAATTACCATTGTCGGATAAACTTGTTAATTTACAATTGACATTTAACTACACTGTAGTCAGCGCCTCTTGTGATTGTACACAAACTTCCATGAATTCTTTCAGACCCTGGATCACCTGACTTAGAACTGACCAATCAGGAAGGAGAGGAGGAGGAGTTTTCTCCAGAGGAAGTACAAATGGTAAGGCATCTTTGCCTCCTTTTCTGTTGTCCAATTTGTGATGAGGTGCTCTTCAATAAAGAAGATTATTAACGTTTGGATCAAAAAGCAAGAAGAGTAAATATCTGTCTCATTCCTTATGAATTAAATTGACTCATTTAAATGTTTTTTAGATATTTCCGAGGCATTCTTCCACATGCCATTTTGAGGGGTGTAGTTGCCATTTTTGTACAACTCTGCTAATTCTGAACTTTCTTAGTTCACAACTTTCGGTTATCTGTGAAATGGCAACAGCCCCCTCTATAGAGCAGACAATATAATTTGTACCTATTCTAAGTCGATTCCTAAATGGTGGTGAAGTCTGTTCCAGAAGCAGTTGTTTACATTTTGTACCTTCCGTTGTACATTTGATTTTCTGTTATTGTGTTGTTTTCTGTGATTTCAGTTTGAGCAAGAGAACAAGAGGTTATTTAATGAGATGAATTGCTTGGTGGATGAAGTCAGGTGAGACAGTCATTAATTTGACAAGGTAGCAGGTGGATCCTCCTTATCTACCTTAAGCAGAACCACCCTCTAATCAGTTGAAAAGAGCCATGCTGGCGGGGAGCGGTTATTCTGTTGGTAGCAATGCAACCACAGTGCATGTATTTTATAGTCATTTGAGAAGCGGTGAAATTCAGTTTCCAACAAAACGGAGCCTCCATTGCCAGGAAAATTACATGTATGCCTCTCTTAATAGAGTACATGGTTTTTCCATCTGCCAGAGTGATTTTCATTAAGACGCATTACATGCCTAAACCTGCTTGTAACTACATGTAGACAACTCACTGGGATTATATAATTTCATTGCAGGCAGATCGAAGGGAAGGTGGTTGAAATCACTAAGCTGCAGGAGATTTTTACAGACAAGGTCTTACAACAGGTGAGATGACAGTTAACTAGCGTAATGTTGACAAAAAAAAGAAAAACATGGAAACTGAAAGTGAGGAAATGAAGGAAGAATGGCTATTGATGAGGAGCAAGGATTTAGAAACTTAATGACTTGACCAAGGAACTTGACCACTTGGGACCCGAGCCAAGGTAGCTTGAACAAAGGGATTGGATTCATAATGTGGGCTCTACAGACATTACACAAAACCTTGGACAAAACAAACCCAGTAATTTCAGAAATCTTGTGATCTGATTTCTTATGTTTCCTTTTCTGTCTATTGATGCGTCTCTCTCCGTTACAGGAAGCCGACATTGACAGGATTGCTGATACGGTTGTCGCGACAACAGAGAACATCAAAGAAGGAAATGAAGATATCAGGGAGGTAGGTCTGCACTTTGCAAATATTAGAAAAAGGAAACCATACCAAAAACCGCACTGAATCTGAAAGTCACCGCTGAAGAGTAAATTTTTTGTCTCTCCATTGCTTGCACTATTTGAGCCTGTAAGTTTGAAAGAGCGCCCTCTTTTGGTTAAAAGTGGAAATTGTATTCTGCATGCATTTGTTGTTGCTTCTCCAGCATGGATGAGCTTTTTTGGGGTCCACCGTCCTTCTCTACCCTTCTCTTTTCAGGCAATCAAGAATAATGCTGGCTTCCGAGTTTGGATTCTCTTCTTCTTGGTCATGTGCTCGTTCTCTCTGCTGTTCTTGGATTGGTACAGTTGAACGCAGAAATTTCCCACACGTACGAACACGCTTGCTCACCAACAACGGGCTACCAGCTGAATTTCTTACATTATTTTCAACAAATTCAAAGCTTGACAACATGGGACGTAATTCCTTGCTGCCAGACTTCATGACACAAAGCTGTCAACGGATTGACTGTGATGTACCACAGAGGGCGAGACAAATATCTACGGATCTAAGAAAAACCCAGTCTTTACCTTGAAAGGGTGCCAAATGCAAATTCGTAAACCATTTTGACCAGATTAGACGGAATTCCATGGCTACTCACATCAGACAGATGTTGTTCCAATTTGTTGTTCCGACTTCCTGTTTCAGGGGAGATTCTGGGAGAAGGGGCGAGAAAACCACCAAGTGGTCTCTGATGGCCCTTAAAAGATTACAAATGTCTTAAATGCCATTTTGTAAATAGTCTTTCCACCTGTGCTGATTTAAGCCCACATACTGCTAATAACAGTTTGCTTGTGGTAAATTATCACTTTTTATTTGAGTAAAGAAAACTGGAATTGTTCTATGAAGACAACCTTTACTTGAGGATGAAGAGGAGCATAAATCCTTTACTTTTGAAGATGTGATGAGGACCTTTAAGAATAGCTTCGTGGTTTTTCACATCGACTCATTTGGGGATGGTTTTTAGACACAGGATCTAAGAGTTTCAAGAAAGACTACAAAGACAAGTTCATTAAAAAATAGAGTTTCTTTATTGGGATCAAATATACAATGTATGCCTTCATCATGTATAAAACATATCAAAATGATATTTAATTAAAGCTTGCTAAATAAATCTTGATCAAAATATCATTTTGCTCAATGCTTGTTATCAAACTACATTTGTTGCCAGATTTGTTCTTAAATCTAGATGGAGTTTAACCATATAAAGTCTGTTAATTTTAGTATTTTCTTTTGATTGGTGTTACGATCCATTAGTATTCTTGAATCCCTCAGTCATCAGCCTCCCTGTGTTAACAAAGAATTATTGCTTACTTAATTTGGTATTAGCACATCAATATACGACAAAATCAACAGACCACGATGTTGATTGAATCTAATAACCTCTCCACATACCAAGTTACATTTTGTTTCACAAATTTTGGTTCCAAATCTTGGATAACCATCAAGTATAGTATATCGTAAGTTACAATGTACCTCAACAGTATTTGCACTAATGGGTTTAGAAATAACTACCACACTATAAAAGCACATTGGAATACTGAAACTCTGACCTCCAATTATTACATGAATTAAACCACATTCACTTTGCAAAGTCTGCCTCCTCCCCCATGCACATGAGTATATCTGGTGACCTAAATACATGTAGATCTGTAGCTGCCACTGAATTACCATAAAATGCCACTATCTGGTAAAAGGGAGCATTCCAAGAAGTTGTTGACCACAACATGAAGCGAAAGCGCATGTACTGATAGTTTCCTGAAAATCCCACCCCAAAAAATAAAATCAAAAAGGGCAGTCTGGGAAAAGCATTAGTAAATTTGATCTCTTTACCAGGAATTCCTTTCACGAGGATTAAAATCCACTTCACACACTGATGTGTAACTCGTGTTTAAAACAATACGACCCATTTTCTTGCTACTCTCAAATCCCGTTACCTGATGAATTTTCTTTGAATCTGTGTCAAAGAAGGGGGAGAGGAGGGTTTGAGGTATCACAAATCCAGCAACAGCCAACCCACTTGTGGATCAGTAACACAATGCCAACTTGGATAATTCTTAATGCTGGAGGCCCCTTTCATTCCTACTACAGATTTAACTTGAGGGGGAGACAGCATGATGTTCAAACAGCATTTAACCTGATCTTGGCCTCTATACAAGGGACCCTTGTACCCCCCAATGGGCACTGTAAACATTACCCACTGTGACCAATCATTGTCGGGTTTCCTTCTATTATGACGAGACTTAATCCAAAGACTGAATTCTTGGGAAGAATGGAGAGATTGTGCAGTAAATGTGTTTTGTTTTATGAAGACATTGGCAACGTTTCACACGCTCTATTTTCCCCACAGGAGGGGAGGGCGTGTTACTGTCCCGACCACAATCTCCACAGATGTACGGTGACAGCTGGACCGCCAGACAGGGTCATAATTATTCAAAGATTAGGGGCTAGCCTCACCCCAAAGCAACCTTCGACCAAGTTCTGACAACCTGATCTCAACCTCTTGCTGCGACCTATCCAGCAGGTCTCTGGGACAAAAAAGGGGTAGGGCCTTCAGAGAGGGGAAGGGCTTACACCTTACCACTAGACCCTCCGGCAGTGGTACTTAACACACAAGACCCTAACTTGCCGCTGAAAGGTGTCTTTATCACCTCTCAGTGGGACAGTTGGATTGGACAGAGTGATACAATTAGGCTGTTCTTTTCTCTTTTCTTTACCTGGTTGCAGTAAGAGGACACCTTTAAGAACTTGAAACAAAACCACCGCCTTCCTCCTGCGCAATCTCACAGGTGAAACACACTGCTACTTGTCTTTTAAGTGATTTCAGATGATCTAAACCATATTGTCGGGGATCACAAATAGTCGTATACTATTACTAGGCAAACAGCACACACAGAGACTTTTTGCCTGCAGGGCACGTAAGAAATGGGCAATCATATAATGGGAGCAGACCACTGGGCCAATATACCCCAACCACACCTCCCTGAAATCTACTACAATTAATGCTGATCTCTCTCTAGCTAATAATTGGCAGGGTTGGGCCCAGTCTAAAAGTAATAAAAACAGGTGGGTAAGCATTACTCGCAAGGCCATTCAACTCTAGCTTTCAAATAAGCAAACATAAGAAGACACTAAAGTTATCATGGTAGTCAATAGTTTGAATCAAGACAGTCATATGGAACAGGAGCTGATGGGACCTCTTTGCGTTGAGGAGATGTTAATTTATATTACGGGGTTTGCCCTTAACCAATGTATATACATGTATATGTTTATAAACACTGTATAGGCCTACTCAGTGCTTGTCCAAGAGCTTGTGAAAAATCCACAAGCTTACTTGGCAAGTTCGGTGATCGAGTGGTTAAAACGTCTGCACTAGTAAGCAGGAGGTTGTGGGTTCGAGTCCCACCCGAGTACGCTTGTGAATTTTTTGCAAGCTCTCATATCAGACAAGCACTGAGTATACAGTGTTTATAAATATCTATATATACGTTGGGTAAGGGCAAAACCCATAATATAAAAATAGTGACCAAAACTTCTTAAATAGTGCATAATACAATTAAGACTGTGCACTATAAAAGAGAGTGAACAGTTTTAAGTTGAAGTTTAAATTGTCCTAGGTTGGGACAGTTTTTGATGTGTTAAGGCAGGTTGTTCAGGTACAGGGAATTGGAAGGCACGCTGACCATATGGATTAGTAAAAACTAGATATGGAGAGGGAAGATCTCTGTTGCCTGGACGAGGAGTTCTCGATGGATGATATTCGCTAAGTAATGTTTGGAGATAGACTACAACAGTTTCACGACGCATGCATTTGTAAATCAAAATCACAGAAACTAAATGGGATTAAATGTGAGTAAAGGAAGGGATCTGCAATAGAGTTTAACAAAGGGCATTTGAGTGGGGTACACTGTGCATACATATGGGTAAGAAGCTAGAGTTTGAAACATTGCTGGTTTTACAATTTTAGAAAAGGAAAGTTCTTAGCTGCAGACAGGGAAGTCGAGCAGTACTTCTCAGGTTTCAAAGGAATTACAATACTTTTGAATTCAAGCATGAAATGTGACTTTTACAAAGTGCAATATTGGATGCTGGTACTAATTGACTCGGAAGTTATAAATGTAGGATGTCCTGCTCTTTAACACAAATGACCTCACCATTCACATTCAGGAAGTGCAATATAAGTCTACATTGTACACTGAAGATCAAATACACCTACATGTAAGGTACAGCTGTGTATCGACGACACATTTCATTTTTCTCAATTTTATGAATTTTAGTTCAACTTCAAGGACCACTTTTTGTCACCTGGCAAATAAACTGGAACTATTTTAAAACAACCAGTTAAAATGAACATGCAAAATATGTGTCTTGATTGAATTGGTTACTGTTTGTACTCTCAAATAAGACGGAGCAGCAAGGTATTGCCAATTGCCCTCAACAAGAAGCTCCTATCAGTATATATTGTACTGATCAATTCAAGACCACCCAAATAATATGACTTCCCTCTGCATCTTGACTGGACGGCTATAAGAAATGCTGTCAATGTGCAACCACAGCAGAGGTCAAAGGCTACTGACCGGAGGATATCACTCCTTTCTTCAGGATGAGGTTGCCATACAATGCCTTCTCACTGTTGAGAGATGAAATGCAATTATTTCAATCCTTTCAGGAGGCCTCTCGGAAAACAAAATTACAGAAGAATGGTCTTTATTTTAAAAAGTAACAAAAGTACATGTACATGTAGCATATTCAACGAGATCAAAGCACTATACAAAGAAAACAAAGTTTAAATGGGATACCAAAGAATGCCTGGGAAAAGTACAGTTACTAAGGAGACTGTAAAAAAAGTGCTAATTTGCAACCATTTATAGTGGAACGCCGCTATACCAAACGCTGCTGTACTGAACACCGCTATACCGAACACTGCCATACCGAACTACCGTTTGTAATTCCCGAACGTCAACATGATAAAACAGTGTTTTTTTATGTTGGAAAGTGACAAGTGGCCACCACTTCCCTAAGGATTAGAAGGGAAAGCCACGAGTTGTCAAAGGTATTGAATAGACACTGGTTTTACGACTCCACAGTACATGATCGGGTGCAGAAGAAAACCGCACATATGCGCACAGTGACATTGCACTAACAATAGGCTAAAGCGGGCCCTGCTGATACACTAATCAATCGAAATTCACTACGGCATGCATCTGAGATCAATTCTGAGTGGTAGTTTCACAACTTTTAGGATAAACTTGATATCAATTTTTTGACTCAAGTTTAAATAAAAAAAAAAATAATTAACAGATACATTTCTAGAAACCTTAAACTTGAATGCAACGGCAAAACATCACGAAAACAGCGAACCAAGGTATCACAAGAGGGTGCACTTCGGTTTGACAAGAGAGGGCGCTATTCAACATGGCAAGGAAACGTTCTGTTGTACCGAACATTTAGCATGGACCCCATCTTGTTCGTTATAGCGACGTTCCACTGTAGTTCTTAACGTGTAGAAGCTCTGATACAAACAACCATCCCATGAAAACGGAAAGAGAAAATATGAAAGTGATGCCATTAGGCATTAGACCACATACTTGTAGCTGCAATGGCAGGTGTTACTCTCTTTATTTCCAATTAAGGATGCTCTTAAACTTTAACATTTTCCAACAGTATATCTTTTGGGGAAATCTGTGTCCATAGCATGACACGAAGGGTGGAGTTGGGAGATGGGGGATTAGCTATAATTCTACTGCTAGACCAAACATCAGTGCCAACACACTTTGTTTCTGCAATGTACTGCAGGCATTTCTATGAAAGGTTTAATCAAAGCCAAGGGACTGGGTGTGGGGAAGAACAGGGAACTAGTTTCAGGATAAAGCTGGTGGTGTCAATTAAGCTGACTTTATTTTTGCTTGTTTTGGCACTGGATTGTACATATCTGCAGTTCAGTTGTCTAACGTACCTTCTTATATTTGGGACTGCACTGTAAATTGCACTTTTATAATTACCTGTACTAAAACCCTTTCCCATTTCTCTTAGAGTGTTTTCTATACAGGCACTTTGCAGAATAATAGTAATAAACCAGGCCCATAGGCTGGGGTGGGGGGGTTTGGTTTGGGGGAACGAAACCTCCCCCCGCCCCGCTCGCTTCCGAGTTCCGCTTGTCGGTGGTGTTTTTATAAATATATCGAAATATACACATATTTCTAATATACAATTACTTTCAGAATACAATCCGCGGCTTACACGTTGATTCTCATGCTGAAAATTTCCCTGCGGGTTATAACTCCGGGCGGCTTATACGGTAAAATTTGAAGAATGAAATCAGTCCCTAGATGCCTGAATGTGCCTCTGTTCACTTCTAACGACTGTGTATTGAGCAATATTTTACCTCCAATCTCACGAAAGGTTAACTTTAATCAAACTCCAAATATTCGGATTCATAAATGTCGATTTCATAAATCAATTACAAAGTTCCGATGAAATTTTATTTTGGCCTGATTTTTCAATTTTTTTTCCGAAGTGCAAAATGAACTCTTTTAAGTTTCAAATGCGTTCCAAAATATATACTTTTTTCAATATTTAGTTCGTGAGTGGAGGTAATAATTATTTACTAGAATTTATCAATTTTATAGAATGCTTGCAATTTTTTGTGGGATTTTCTGAGATTTTAAATAATAATGTTCATATCATTCACTCATCACCCAGCGCCTGATTGAGGGCACTGGGTGATGAGCAAATTCATACACGACACGCTGTGAACATTGAAAACTGATGAAGTATACAAGTCTTCATAAATGCATCCTTCGGTTCACGAGAAAAATGCAACTTATTCAAAAACACATTACGATAGGCCTTTGTAAAAAAAAATATGTATTCACAGTGACAAAAGTTCCACTTTTGGGTTTGACGAACCCCCCCCCAGTCTCTGGTCATGCAACAGGCCTGTAAACAGATAAACTTATTAATCTTTCTAATTTTTCAACCGTCCTTACACGTATGAACAATACTACAACCAGGCTACTGCCTGGATTTTGATTGTTAAAACCTGAGCATTTGGGAAAATAAGGAATTCAAGAATCCAAGAAATGATGTCTTATTAAAGAATTTTTTGCATTTTTACCAACAGAAGTATGGAACAGTCACCTGTGAGTCAACTACCCTTTCACTGGCATATTTTTTCTGGGGTTACAGAGTTCAAATTCCCTTTCTTTATCCATCAGACACCTATTAACCCCCTCGCCAGCTCATCTCGTTTGAGCCAAACCTAGGTCTGTCCACCTCTAAATGACAGTTCCTGATTTCAATTATTTTTTCAAGTCTAAATTTCAAACAATGAGCCAAATAAATCTAGGCATTTTGGTACGTCATCCTTCTGAACTCCTCGACCCCCTCTCCTAACAATTGGAAAAATCCCTGGAATTCCAGGGTCTTGTTATTGTGCTGTTGATGAGTGCTCACCTCAAGAGGGTGACAGAGTTAAGAGGTCCTCCAGTCCTGCTATTGTTGACTAACATCCACTGACTTTATAAAAATGTTTTCAATTTTGTGAACTGACTCTATAATAAGCGTGTCACTCGGGGGATTTGGTGAGCGATTTGACATGTTTATTGGATTTGAGAGTATCACTTATAAACAACCTGTTTTTGGCCAAAATACCAGCAATTGTTCCTGTGGGACCCGATTAACAATACCCATCTACTTCCTGTCAAATTCTATCATTCCTCACAAGTTTAAAAGGCTGCCACTCATGTATTATTAGTCCTAGACTACAGTTCAACCTCTCACCACGAGAACTGTTAATGCTTGAGGGGAGGCCAATTTTGGAATGACATGGATCCTGGTCCTAGATTAGCAACCGCCAGGAAAAACAACACTTCTTGTCAACCAGGACTGCTTTGAACCCACTTCACAGAAAATCTGATTTTGCCATAACTTCTGTTCATATGTTTCTGCCAAAGATATCCCTTCCCCCAAGGAATTTCGACAAGTGCTTGTAATAGCCAAGTGTGGCATACTTGCAGACTTTCCTTGTATTGTAATTTGCATATAATGCATGTGTCCATCCACTGTATGCAGATATGGTTACTCGATCAGTCAGCCAGGTTGCCCTTATTTTGGAGGGGGGTGCGGGAAAACCACAAGTGACTACTGTCAGATTCAACGCTGCTATCTGCTTGTCCCACATCCAGCTTAGGGTCATACAGGGTCAATTCATAGGCCACTACTGCCCTAAATGAGTAACTAGTGAGGTCTTTGACCCCTATTCGACCCAAAATATTAAGTATCGGATTGTTTGGCTGCTTGATCTATCCTTATCAATTCCAGCATGGATGAGTTACAAGGACCAATATTTGGTAAGTCTTGTTTCAGGTGACCTACTTTTGCAGCACACTTTCCTGAACTCTCTTGCCACCAAAAACTTCATACACGTAGTCCACGCCAGAAATAAAGACTGAGGACTATTAGGGTTAGTTAGTACCCTTTCAAAATGTCTTGGGGGACCACTATTACTTTGTCATTTTTGGCATTTGTTTCATACAAGTACTTACTTGCAATTTTGTGTTTCAGCAGAAATTTATTAAAATAATATTTTTCCCACTCCAATTTTCTCTTGAAGGGGGTGTTTTTAAAGAGAAATGACAAGTAAATCTGCCCCTCTGTTGGTTCATGGGAAAAAAAGGGTCATGATATCCCCAATAATTTTTTTCAGAAATGTAATTCAAAAACCCTCAGCAACCCTGTAATGATGTGTGTGTGGGGGGGGGGGCAGGGGAATCCATCCATGTACAATATACATACAATACAAATTGTCTGTCACAAAGCAATTTTGTTTCATAGAGCATAAGAAGGTCTAGCCCGCAGCCTTTAAGTACACATACATGTAGCTATTAACAAATATACACGTATGTAGGCATGAATTGAAAGTTACTTGCAACCACATTTCATTTTTATTCACCAATAAACAAACCTGACTGTGGCACACACAAATGGACAAACCAACCCAAAAACCACAACCTGCAAATATAGAATTTATGTTCCGTTGGAGCATGGGTTTAAAAATTCCTCATGGTCCACTGCTTTCCCATAATTACATTTACATTACATGCGATATGTACTTTTAACTTAGACAAAAATGCCAGACACAGATTTAGAAGAAATTTTATTGCTTTGTATCTTTGTTTATTTTTTCCCCAACATTTAAGTGAGGTATTCACCATGGAAACTAAATCATCACTTACCCTGTTGCCACAACAGCAAAAGCTTTTTTGGCTCTCTCATAGAATGCAAACCTCTCAATCTGCTCTATTTTGACCTGTAATAGGAAAGCATTTGGACCATATTGTTGGCATGATGCAACAATCACATGTGAAAAACATTGCAAAAAAACATTCATTTCCCAAGCTCTGGCCCTGTGTCCCTGTCTTTTTAAGTTGTGTTTTCAGTATTACAAAAAATGTATATCAACCACTTGTTGCTGGGGTTCCCAGTACCAGGTACCTTGGGTTTGTATGCATAGCCGGGTCCCAAAATCAGAAAAAGGACCTGGGCCTTGTAACAAAAGACCGTACTCGAAACAAAAGACCGAGCTGCTGGGAATTGCCATCATTTTTCAGCTGGCATTAGCGGAGGTAATACATCATTGTTTTGAAACAGTATATCATTGTTTGCGGGCGCTCAGCACCCGCAGATTATCAGTGGGGACAAAAGTGCTCCAGCACTCCAGCGATGAGCGATACAGTACTGCTGCACCCTTTTTCTGGCCGCATTTGAAAAAACACCACTGTCATTCGGCAATGCACGGGGCTAATTTCAGGAACAAAGGAATTATGCAACACGCACGATTCGGGCTCTCTTTACTGGGCAACAGGCCAGGATGCAATACTCAGGTGTCAATGGAGGTGCCTGTCAGATTAGAGTAGCCACCAGACAGTCATACATGTAGGTGTAAGTGTCCAGTAAATGAAGTTATGAATTTTTAAAGAATTTTGCAAACTGAAAATCGCCCGGGAACTCATCCCGCATATGCAAATTCCACTTGGCAGGAAGTTGTAACCGTTAATGGAAGAATTTCATCCTATTCACCAAAGGTTTTCAAGCTGATATTACTGAGACAAATACTTGATATTATACAAACTGACACCACAAAACACCACAAACTACGTGTATGTAGTAAACTTTCCATGCAATTTTTAAAGTGTACATGTAGGGTAGACAAGTAACAAGGCACAAGTTATCACGATCATTGAACCTATTAACAGCAATGAATGTACATGTAAATGGCTGACTGACAAATATGCTTAGAATGCAGCCTTTCTTTCCATTTACAGTAGGATGCGTCCTTGGACAATTGCCAAAGTTGTTGGACTATTGCCATTTTGAAGGTGCATCTGCTTTAACATACAGTACCTGTCTGTTTACAAAGATATCCACAGATGAATCAAACCAGTGAAAATCAAGGGACAGTTCTATAATACAAACAGCCAGAGCCTGCAGCAAATGAGTTCAGCTGTGATTTCCAAGTGCAGGCTACCAAAACTAATGCACTGGCATGACATGTAATAGCAGTCTCATTTCAGTCAGTACATGCCCCAAAACAGTGTTTCAGGTTTGAGATTTATTGAGGCAACACAATGCATAGCCCAAAACTGCGACACCAAAATGTCGGCCCAGGTCTCCAACTTCCACAATAAATAATACCTTATGAGGGGATTTACATTGCATGAGTAGACCTTGCCACAAAGCTGCACAAGATTAACTGAGAATTATGCCACCTGTGCATCTAGCTCCAATACATCCTTGGCAATATGCCAAGTCAAACAAACCAATAGGTCTCAATTTGGCAGGTGCAACAGACATTCTTCCCAGAAATGTCAAATGTAACAAGGCTTTGAACACATTATAGACACATCCCAATCATTTTTTTAAAATGCTGACTGCATGTGTGATATCAATGCAAAACCTTGCATTACAGGTTGAATGGTTAACTGTCATTGTGAAACGAGTTCATCCGGTGTATCTTTTGCCCTCAAAGCAAACTTTCCACATGCTTGTAAACCCACCCACATGTAGAACATCACACTATATCCGTCACTCATATTCCATATATGGCAAAATAAACTTTAATAAAAGTACACTGGGCACGATAATAGGCCATGGTGCCAGTTTTAAGTGGTGAGGAATTCTCATTTTTGTAACTGGCAACCCAGTGACCACAAATATGTTTGTGGTGTCTGTGCACTTCTACTTGAGCAGAAGGCATCAATTGGGGGTTAATTTGCCAGGAAGTGAGGGTTCATTCAGCACCTGACTTGATATTAGATTCATATTGTACCTGTAGGTAAGAATTCACCAGGAAGTTGCCAAATGTGGCAAAGTCACAGTTGGACACATATTTTAAGAGTCAACACATGGGTAAGACAACAATGAAATGATACAAAGACTTTTCATTATGATTGAAATAATTAAATGAATGAGGGCAAAGTCTGACATGCATACTTGATAGACAGCTCGTACATGTTTTTGTAGTTATGTATGATGCAAAACTCCAGTAATGTACGCAAGTGTTACGTGTTTTGGATGCCATTTTGTTTCAATATTTGGTAGAAAGGCATCATGCAATGGTTCTTCCATGACTGTCCATGTCTCAACATCTTGTATGCCATCAGCAATGCAGAATTTAGGCTTAAACATACATGTACATGAGTGTGTGTGATGTTGACATAATGTTTCTTGTACAAAATGGTGCATCCAAGGCTCCATGTTTCTAAGAACTTGCTACAATGAACACATTTCTAATGTTTTATTAAGTACTTTTCAAACTGACTTCAAATTGCCAAACAGCAGGCCTACTGAGCCAGTCCTAATCGGGGAAGAATATAACTTCTTCTGTTAAGTCACTTCGAAACAAGCTCAAGAATGTCAATTATGCACGTAAAAATTTCCCAAATCCTTGTAATAAAAATGGATGCACACAGGAAAGCCATTTTTAGAGAACATAACGACATCACAAAGTATCTGCATAGGCTACAACTGATTCTGTCTGGAATGCAACAAGAGAAATCATTTCAAGCAAATGTGATGAATCAACCGATCTACATACTTGAAAGCTTTTTTACAACAAAGAGGGTGAATCGATCGTCATTTCAAAAGAACACTCGTGCAGGAACATGCCTAACTTATGCAGAGTTACAGAAATGTTTGGCTTACTGTTTTGCCTTCTGCTGCATCCAGGAGTGCTTGGAATTTATCCCACACTAGTGTTGGTAGCTTTGCTTTCTTATGTTCATCAACCAGCTCCATCACCATAGCCTGAGAGTTTCAATAGAAAGACATAAGAAATTCAATGGACAAATGACTTTCCTAACCATGGCTTCCTGGGAACGACGTGAGAGATCTTTCTGAAAATTAAAAGATGCTAACTTTCAGAAAAGATCAATTCCCCTTGTTAAACATTCTACATTTACAGTGACTTGTGCTTGGAGTTTGTTGTAAATCATGCTAATTTACAGTGTACACGTATACACTTAATTATCCACATATTGCATATATGTATCACTGTTTTCCAATAGAAATACATTTTCCAACTGAGTGCAATTTTTTTTTGGGGGGGGTCAGGGGATTCCATAAGAAAACAAGAAGTTACATGTGTTGTTATTTATGTGCAGGTACATTTGCCTCCTAAAAGGTTTGCCAAAACATTGTCTGCTCATTATAGAAAATAAGTAAAACTCAACAGACTTGCTGAGCTAGGAAATAAACAAGAAACTCTCACAAGGCACTCACACTACCATGGTGAAGGGAAATACAAAACAAACAAACAAACAAAGAAAAAACAAATTCCCACCACGTGGGTTATTTTTCTTGTTATATTATTTAAGGTCAGGGGAAAAACTCTTTGTTAAAAAAAATGAAATGGGGGTGTTAGGCTACATACATATACCTGCCTGACCCACATGTACATACCAGTAAATGCAGGTGGCAACAATGCAGCTTTGGAATAGTGTCAAAACACAGCAAAAGCTTTTGAAACCTTTTTTACAAGGAGCAAAAAATGAACGTGCAATAAAAAACAACCTGTCAAGTATCTTTTTTATTATCTATCATATTCTGAACAATGCAACCATCACGGTTCCTTTAGCTTTCCCTGATATCTCACTTATTCACAACTGGCAAGAGCAGGAAAAACTGAAAAATCATGTGGAAGCACAAATCCTCGAGTGAACAAAACGAAAATGCTATAGGCAGAGAATCAAGGAATGTCAAATATTGTTACTGTAACCATGGCTGTTGGGCGGTGCATGTACACATATAGGACTTCAGCCAATACCCCGTGACACAGACTGACACACACACTGACAGTGGAGAAAGAAAAAGAAAAATTAAACACTAGACCCTTTTGTTTTTTGTGATCTCTACAACAAAGCACAGTCAATTATATGGGTTCTCTACTTGAGAAATCTTTGTGCAATCAGTTAAAAAAAAGAAAGAGATTGGATAAACTGCCTTGAGGTGGGCTGAGAAGCCAGATGGGTGGATTTATTCATTCAGCAACAATGTGTAAACCCTCTAAGTAAACTTTTACTTTCCCTGGGCGCTGTCCTCTTTGAACATCATTCCTCTCTGTTTACAAAGTGCCCAACATAAAAAGACTAGGAAAGAGACAGTAGGGTACTTTCATTTTTAGACTGACACCCCCCTCCCTTTGCACGTCATCACAGACCTTCTCATTGTATAGCTGGGTAACACAGCCTTCTTTTCATGACTAATTAATCGACCATGGTTAAAACTCTACAAGTGCAGGACATAAAAAACACGAAATCACTTCCGTTTTAATAATAGGGGCAACACTGACTCCCAAGACCCAATTACACAGAGCTGTGGACAAATGGTATTTATCCAGAGCCCCTTATACAATCCCCCTATCATTTATCCATTGAACGATTAACTGTCTGCAAAAAGCAAACCCATGAATAAATCACCCTAGGGAACTTTAGTTTGAAGGGGCGTGCTAACACCATGGCTTCCGGACAAATATCTTTGGTGGTTAGCAACTGGCGACACCAACACAGTTATGATGTCTGCTTTTAACAAACTGGAGGTCACATCTCAAATACGGAGGGGGGCGAGATGAGATCTAGCATAAGCTGAATGCAGATGGAGCACAAATGATTGGACGTTTTTTTTCACCTCTCTCTCTCCATTCATAAAAAAAATGGTGGAGTATGATCATAAGGCGTGGTCCAGCAATCAATGGAACCACCTGTCCTCTTGTGGCACAGGCAGTCTCGTGCACAAGCTGGCAAAATGCCAAGTTGTACAAAGCGCAGTTAAAACTGCAAATACGAGGAGTGTAAATAGAGACAACAGAGTGGATTTGCGATTGTGAAGTCCCTCCAAAACTGACAACCCTAGTACAAAGGTCACGTATAATATACAGCTCTTCAGAATAATCTGCACAAAAAATTCCTTTCAATTTTTTTTTAAGTGTTATGATACATGATGCCCTGCTACCCATTCTGGTAGAGAGTAGGGATACTCCCCAGCTTTCCCATTTTTCTTAGCAGCCTTGACCTTACCCTGACCTTGTCTTCTTTCTTACAGATGTATCAAAAATCCTGTAATCACACAATACCTCCCCTCTTACCGATGCACAAATCAGGAACATGTACATGTAGTCATATTCTGACAGCAGCCATGTACATGTACATGTGTACATAAAATTTGCATGGATACCACATCAGAGAACATCAGCAACGTAAAAACAGCAAAATGTTTTTTAAGGGGGGGGCATTTATGAGACCATCTGGTATCAGCTATTAAAGGGCCTGCCCAAAGTGGAGGGGGTTAACCCAAGATTGAAAAAGTAAGGGGGGATGTTCCCCCCCCCTTCCACTGCAAGTCCAGCACTGATGTCTTTGTCTGCTCTGTTGTCTTTGTCTATATTTAAAAGCTTGTTTTCTGCAGATTAACAGTTTCAGTTTGTGATAACAAGTACCTGACAATGTCCATAGGGCAGAATCTGGAAAGACAAACATGAACAAAAGTTTGGTATAATAATTCTTTCTACATGTACAATTAGCTCAAATTGCCTGGCATTTTTAATATTTTGAAAATTTTTATTTAATAAAAATCTTCCAATATTTCCCTGAATCTCAAAAACAGCTGAACTGATTGCACAACAGCATTTGAGACAAAGTTCAAGCTTATTCACTGATTACTTGTTCACGACTATTTTGTAAACAGAAATCTTTGTAAAGTGCAAATCTTCTCTCATATAAAATGATTAGGACTTAATCAACCATCTTATGCACGGATATTAGTACACTTATCCCAAGTTGTTAATAGAAAGGTGGATGCATAGTTTAGAGCACAGTATTCTGAACTAGAAGCAAGAATTTAGCAAAAGTACTCGAACTCTCTTAAATAACTTCTGCCAGCTCAAGCGGCAAGGAATAAAAAAGTGTCAAGGCTTCAAAACATCCGACTCATCAAGCAATGCCCAACCCATAATAGTACTGATACAAAAGAAATGCCAAATATAAAGGGCTCACAATATTAGTGGAATTCAGCCATTTTGAGCAGTGGCTCCAAAGATACACAAAAGAAAATCACGTGGGCAGAGGCCATTTAAGAACACTTGCAAAATCTTTTCCTTGCAACTATATTCAGTAGGAAGAGAACAATAAGGTTCTGTATAGCGCATGGCAAGTTTTTAATTTATTGTCAAGCACTGTGTGGGTGGCAGGGTATATGGTGACATCCAATTCCCAAAGCCTCAGGCGTCTTTACTAATTTTCACGTCCAAAAGAACTTTTTGGTATTCCCCGCACCCCAGGTCAACAAAGGAAACTAAGAAAGTTTGATGGAACACACAATAAATACACAAAAGATTATAATACGCTATTTGGGGCATTTTGCTCTGACGAAGACCAGCAACACACCTAGATGTTTTCCTCAGATTTTACCTTACATTGTAGGCCAATAAAAACCACTAAAAACTGAATCAAAACACACTCCTCAACCATGCTGAGTTGAACATGTTCAACAGGTCTCTATGCCTTTTCATATTGTCTTAAGTTTAGGCGCCTGTTCCCAAATGATGCAAGAATAACTGGGTGTATTTTCCAACATGAGAAAAAGAGACAAATTAGCCATTAAAAGATAAAAAGATGAGGAAGCAAAACAATTTAACATAAAAATAATAACTAGCCCTGTTATTTACATGACTATTCTATAAGGGTAGGTACAAAAGGTAGGCAATATAGTAGAATGCATGGTCAATATCTTTACAACATTCCAATCCGTCACTTTGCATTATGTGACCTTGATCATTTTAGAGGGTGATTTGGCACAAATTAAATCCTAAATCTGTACATGGTTGACATAAAGGATTCATCCACCTGGCTTGCCAAATTTTCTTTTGTAGTCCAACTTCTTAGAGTGGGAGCCTCAGTGAGAACATTTGACATCATCCATTAGGAATCCCAACCAATGGCAGTCTTAGTTGAGACATCAGGCATGAGGTTGTGGCGTGACATTCCATTACCTTACCCTCTTCTTGTTGACCTGGGTTCGAATTCCGTTGGGGTCAACACGTGGGTTGGGCTTTTCTTGTCCGCTCTGTACTACGTAGGCTACTGGTACAATATAAGGGGTACTGATTTCAAACTTTCCATCACATCATAAAAGCTTTCGTGCATGATGTTTCTTCTTCTGATAAAGGCAAGTTTTGATCATTAAAAATTGAATTAAAATGAATTTGGACTACATGTACCAGTTCTCAAACTAGTTTAATAATAAATGCAATGAATACAAATCACAAATATAAGAAAATAGGTGTTACATACAAAATTGGACAACTGGACAACATTATGCTACACTATTTAACTGCCATCTTCTTCAACTTCAAAGTTTCTCACATTTTTTAATGCACATGATACAGAAAAACTGTGCATGTTCTCATAAAAGATGTTAGCGTGTGAAGTTCGTTTCCTGAATGGGCTACGCAGAGGTGGCAGAAGATCACAGTTTTGTTTTGTGTTCAACTGTTTCCTCAATCCCGATTGAATTACAGGTGCAAAAGATGAACGAACTATAAACAACGACTGAACTTGAGGGTGAACGTGATACAAGGCCGATCAAGGTCATCCTAGGTCACATGAGCGCGCATGAAAGCGGTTCATCAGCACAGCACACGTAAATAACAGTAAAACACTCTATATTTGTTCTACGTGTACAAATTGTTTAGAAAATGCAAGACCCATGCTTGTTGTTAGAGATGTTCTCCAAAACCCGACTCTTCCTCAAGTCTCCTCCTTCATCGACAGATACAGAGATACAGAAAATACTAAATAATTCAGTGACTTCATTTACACTTAAAAGGCACTTCGACTTGTGTCCAAATGATGGATTGAGGTGGATGATGCATTAGAAACATTTCTTAGATGGACTAATTTGAGGTTTGACTTTCCAACTTTAGATGGAGCAGATCTCAGCCATAAAAATACCCACCAAATATTTAGTACTACACCTGTACATGCGCATATATTGATACAAACCACTGTTCAAATAAATTTCCCTCCCTCTATAATTTACCCCTTCTGTTGGCACCAAGTGATAAGCAGCGATGCCTTTGACCATTTTAACTTCCAGGCCCCCCCCCAAAAAAACCCCAGGTCATTCCACCCCAGAATATTTTGTACCACCTGCTAAACGAAACAACATTGATCATATTATGCCATCAATCAAACAGGGAAAGAGTCCTTTTGACAATAACTAAATGCAATAAGGGGGTATATCGGAAGTAATTACTTAGACAAGGTAGTATGTGGAGCAACTGGTATGCAGGGAATTCTGGAGTTTTAAGAAGCAGGCTGGCTTGTTTAGGACACAAGTGGTGATCCACATAGGTGGTGATTTTGTATCACAGTGGTGCAATTTTAAAAGCCTATTTATATATGAACATGCACAAACAAGTGTTTGAGACAAGTCGGGCAGATGACATAGTAATCTTAATAGTTCCTAACACGTTCCTCTCCTCTGGAGATTGAAACTGTTACAATTCTACCTTTGAATTGTCCTTTTGATGAAGCTGCTTAAGAGCAAATAATCTGTCAAGTGACTTTTTGACTTAAAATCTGCTTTCTTCAAGTCTCTTTTCACAATATTTTTGGTACTAAGATAAGTTTTGCACAAAGCAGCTCTGAAAGGCAAATTTTAGACTGTAAGCATGCCGCAATGGGACAACAAAGTCTAAATATAGACACCATAAAAATATCACGTGACAAACCTGTTTGCAGACAAAAGCGTCAGGTATGTCAAGCATGCAAGTCCCACTTTCAAACGAACAAATTCCAGTCTCTGGGAGGTCAGGACAAACGTGCAATAATTATGTCTTGTCTATTTCCAACGCTACTCTACACATGTAAGATACTAACATATCTGACAGTGCAGCAGTACGTCATTGGAAAGTTATTGCTAGCACTATGAAGTTCTCCCATCCAGCGACTCGTGGTTTTCATGGAGGGGGGGGGAGAAAGAGGGGGAGGAGCTAACAAATATGCAGCTATTTCCTTTGTCACATACCAGACCAGATAATTGCAAACCACACTGATCAGGCTGGACTCCCTTTATCAATAATATTGACTTCCTCTCACTGACCTAGCACTTCATTTCAAGTGAAATCCTCAAAAAGTTGGAACCCATGGATGTACATGTACACGTATGATGCCCTAAAACCAATACAGATGCACTTATGACGGGTGCGTGTTTAGGGGTGTTTTGGATCTGTGTACCCATTTTATATCAAAACTGGGTACATTTAAAATCTCATACATTAGAGAAGTTTATCTCTTGGAATTCAGAGTCTGTAATTGTGAGTATGCCCACCATTGATTACTTAGGTTCAAAAGATAATTCCATTTTGTGTAAATAAAATTCAAGTAGACCTTACTTATCTGTGAAAGATGTTAAGGATTAATTCTGTTAACATGGGTACGTTCAAAATGATATTTTATCTTCTGATTAACATGTATGTATCACATACGTTCGGTCCCCATAGACTGTGGGTGCATTTAATTTGTGTAACATATGATTGTCGGCCAGAAAACTAATATTCCAGTAGATGACCCATATCGGTTAGGGATTTGTCCCATTTCCCTTGAAGACCTCGTGTGTGAATAAATTGCCAAGATTCTATCAAATCATGATATATAATAGCTTCTGATAAGAAAGATCTCCGGAAATTAATCAAAGAAGTGGAAAACGGCAATTTTTCGACAGAGGATAATTATGAAAAATGATCATTTTTTAAAGCTAACTTTGTGTCTAATTTTCACAATTTTGCCAGGTTTACCTTCAAATAACTTTGATGCCAAATGAAAGACTAGTAACTCTTATGATCAAAAAAGTTTATTACTTCTAGACAGAAAAACCTTTTTTTGAAATTCACTTTATTTTTTCTTGGGATCCATTTTCGTCATTTTCCGTGTTTTTCACCTTACTTAAGTGCCCAATTTTTACACTTTTGTTGAATTCCCCTCAGATCATCTGTGATACTTTCCCATTTCTCTTGTCAGGAATCTCGGAGCCTAGTTTGATGCAACCAGGACTATGACTATCATAAAGACTTGTCATTGTACTACAACATTTGTTTTTACGCAATATTAGATATATTGGGAAATACTTGTCCAGGCAGAGTACTGGAAATACTTGGAAAACAGTTTCAAGCTACGGGTACTGAGATATCAGAAAAGATTTAAACACTTATTCATTCTTTAATTTCTAGCCAGTTGGATTATTACAGCTATCTTCTATATAGCTTAATTGATATTCACACTAATCAGCTTCAACACATTCAAAATTCTTGAGCTAGACCGGCCTACAATACTTCCCAGTGTTGCCGTATTACTCCTTTGTTGAAAACAAAACCAGGGTTTGTTAATGGACGGGGGCGGGTAACTGGCACGGGCCTCACTTGTGAGACTGTTCAGACAGGGGCAGACAATTTATAATGTATAAGGCAGGCAAAAAAGTCAGGTTGAACTCCCTGAGACAGTGTGGAGTGAACCATGATGACAACAAGAAATTGCCCGGAACCGCCGATGCTAAGTTTATACCTACTGGGTAACCAGGGTGGGCCAGAGGTGATGAGGAAGAACACCCGGTTCTCTTCACTCCTGGTCTGGATATGAAATAGTCATGTAGGACTGTGTGAATGCCAGTCAGGGACTTGGGGTCTCACTGCCAAATTGAAACCTAATTACCCGCAGTAAATGGGGAACCACTCAGGCACTCATTCAAGCGCTTTATGACCGCTAAACTTTCACCTTTCTGAGTTTCAGTTTAGCCGAGGAACTACCGAACCCACCAAATGACTCCAGTCCTGTTCATTCACCTTTTAAATACGTACAAGTGTAATGCATGTGTACTTTTCACAGTTAGTACCCTCTTTTTTGAGAGGTTAAGGCACATTTCTTTCAGAATGCTGAGATAGAGCCTCAAAGAGACCACGCGCTGGCAGGGACAAAGATAACAAAGAAGTACCTTGTCAGGCCCACTTTGTGGGTTTGATAAATAGTGCAAGATACATCAATGCCCAACACTGTTGATTAGTCTCCTTCAATCCCCCCCCACACACACAGACACAAAATACAGAGTAGGAAGTCCCTTTCTAGAAATAGAATATAGGAGAAAAAAGACAGACTTTCCGAAGGGCTGTGAACAATTGCTACCATGCTGAGTGACCCTGGGGTGGTCGTCTTTTAAAATAAGCATGGCCAATTGAATGGTTGCACGATTGTAATTCTAAGCCTTCTCTACTTTTCTTTCGAGTCTTTTAATATTTGATGTTACCTGTTAATAATGCAGGAAGTGCAGTTTAGTAAGTTTTTGTGATCATTGCATAAGTTACTTCAATTAAAAAGTTCTTCTATCATGGAGCACATGCAGTCAATCTCTTCATGGCGCATCAATTTCTTAGTACTCTTACAATACTGTGTGAGATTTACAAAGATAAGGAACTACAATGAATGCAAAATCGAACAGGTACTCAAGACATTTGTTTAATCGCATGATAAGAGGACCATTGCAAGATTTGACTGTATCGGCATGGTAGTTGGAGCCCCTACAAATGCCCCCTTTAAAAAACGAACGTTCATGAACAAGTGGATAGAGGAACAAGAAATTTAAAAAACTGCTGTCTACATTTTAAGAACTGAAGGGTAATTCAATTAAGTGAAGAGTTATATTATGACAGTTTCCTTATTTCTCTTCTCTTCATACAGTATGAGAAGCAGAAACTTAAAGAGGTATTCATATTTTTTCCATATTTCAAACAATTCCCAGATTAGGAGAGTACTTGCAATCAATTTAAATTCAGTTTCAAATTGCCAAAGGTGTAAATGTAGAGCCAGAAATCTTAAGGTAAATATAGAAAATTATTTTCATTTTTATTAATTTATATTTGCTTACTGGTGATGGTACAAATGCATCAAGGGGCAGTAACTGCAAAATTGCCTCCAAAAGTTCTGGAATTCCATGACCTGGAAAAAGGAAACCATCAAAACAGGAGCATTATCATTTTTAGGGAAAGCTCATAGACACAGGACACCTCACAATGAAGGAAATACCCCACCAACAGATTTCACAAAATAGAATACAAATTTCCCCAAACCCTGGCAATCAAGACATACAGTAATTATTTACAAAATGGAATAACTAATACCATACAAGAGAATCACGATAAACATTCAAAAACTGGGGAGTTTTCTTTTTCAACTTTTTCTATGAAGCAGGTTCTTTTACTTTCTCTGTGAAGCACAGTTTAAATTGAAAGGTACAGCATGGCAATAGCAGTAGCAATTTCCAAGGTTTTTTTTAATTCAAGTTAATTTGTATGTAAAATTTATCAAACTACATTCCCTACATAATTTTAAGAATGAATAAAATCGTGGTGCTATGGAACATGGACACTGGACCGTAAATGTACAAAGGAAAGATTGCAAAATAAAATGATGGCTTCAGATCATCACTGTTTAATAAAATTTTACTTTTCATGACATATGTACGAATACTGTACTTGGGGAGTGCTTGGCTGTGTACTTTTCAAGTATTCTGCTCCTTAAAACATAATTTTTGCAAAACTGCGAGTGTCTGCAGTCTTACATTTCTTTATAATCTTCCCTTATTGTAGTTACATGTACCTCCCATGCCCATGTTGTCTGCAGCTTGGTTTCCTCATAGCCAGTTCAATATTTGGCAGTGAAATTGGTACTCAACAAGTGCGGGTACTTGACAACAACAGCAGTGTTAACCGCGTGTACTAAAACTGAGCCAGCTTTCTACTACATGTGTTCTGATAACAGATATAAACAAAATAAGAATGCTTGTTAAAAGGCGTAATTTAAAAAATGACTGTTTACCACATACCATCTGCCCTTATTTCTTTTGGTCCAGCACCGCAGATTGAACTTGAGGGAAAATTTGCATCAGCCAGAACTATTGAAAAGAAAAGAAAAACCAAAACGCATGATCTATCACCTATTTTGCAGTTACTGGCATAAATGCTTCACAATGTGACAATGAAAGCATTTCTAGTTTACCCTCGATAAATCCTGCTGAAACATGACAACTAAGCATGATTTGTGACGAACATGTACAGGTGCACACATACAGTCACTTCCGCACCGTCGTCGTGGGGACATACACTCGACATTTCACCTATTTTGTGGGGACCGAAAACGTTGTCAGAGATGTTCCCACAACTTGGTTCAAATTTCCCTAACAAAAGAACTTGTCCCCTGAATGCGGTAAATGCCTACCATGTGTCCTTGCTCTGTGATACTACATACATGTACACATTTTAAAGAATCCCAACCGATTCCTGGGATTGTGTCAAATCAAATTGAAGTTGGAGGAATAAGGAGTACATGCATAAACCAACAACAATCTGTCCAGAATTCCACCTTCCCTTCCATAAATCGGACAAATTGTACAGAGAACAAAATCTAATCAAGCAGGCCCTGGAAGCCATCCCCACCAAGTAACTTCTAACATGTACTTCTTCGAGAAGTTCTTCAGGATGCTGGTCAGTCCCCTCATAAATTACTACCTCAGCTGACAAGAAATTTGGCCACCAAGAAGTATTTCTTCCTGTCCAGCTCAGCTACATATTTGTGGTTACCTCATCCCTAATACTGCCCTTGTCAAATACAAAAAAAGAGAAACTGATTCATCATAAAATAAAAAGGAGGTGACTTCCTGTGGACAGGGGAACACACACACACTAAGACAAACAAGTAGATTTGTTTGGAGAACAGTAGACCCATTATGTGTCTTATAGCTCCTTGAATGGAAAATACACCACTAGGTGAAAAGGTTGGGGACAATGGAAAAAGAAAGGTGACGCAGAGGGCACAAAAGGAACCATAATTGGAGGATCAGCAAACAGTGCCACACAAAGGGTTAAGAAAAGAAAGACATTGTGACATATCTTGTAATGGTTGTTAGGGCTTAAGGAGACACTGCCACAAGGCAAATGACAGAGGTATGCTGGACCAGGGACATCAACGTTTGAATCACTACCATTTGTCAGACAGAAAGTTGGTGGGAAAAATCAATTTTGTTAGTGGATGTAATAAATATTTAAATGTTTGCATTTTTAATTCCAAACACACATACATGTAGGCTCAAACAATGTTCTGGGAATGCAATGTATCTAAAACCTATAAACCTGAAGAAAGATTATAAAATCAACAAATTTGATAAATTTGTTACAAAGTGCTGAGTCATACTTCATCAGCACTTACATGTACATGTATTTCAGGGCATTACTGTCAGTTTACTTTCCTTCTGTATGTATTCTCCACCCCGCCTTTTGCTTTTAATATAAAATTAAAACAAGCAATTATTTCTACCAATTAATTTCATTGTTTTGTCTTGAATTTATCCAAAAAAACTGAAAAGAAAATGGTCCATATGTACTGCCTGACAATGACTTGGAAATGAATGGACCAATAAGCTGTTTTTCTTATTGCTCAGATTTGACACACTTGTTAAAAACATGTTGTTACAGCTGTTGTTTTGACAGCGAGCACTCGGCTAGTTCTCTCAGTGTCACCTGGCATCCCCATTACCTATAAAGAAAAATTAATTTTTCCTCCTTTTCCCCTTCATCTCTCAACAATCAAACGCCCACATTGTTTCCATATACTTGTACAAGTAATCAATTAATCATGTCAAAAATCCTTGGTCACCATGGCAATCAGTCAGGACAGGTGGGCATGCCCCCCTCCCCCACACGGACTTAGACACAAGTTGTGGATCCATTTCCTTATTTCCAGTCTCACAGCCAATCATTACACAATGTTACATGATGTACCACACATCTGTGGTTTCCATTTCAACAAAAAGTTTGATTCCAAACAAACCTATGCACCACAGGCAAATTACAGGATGTCACTATACACAGGAACGAGATTCTGTGCCAGGAAATCCAGTTTGGTGGTAATATTTTCTCTGACATAACTGTTTCCTGCAGACTTCACTGGAAAGATATTGCATGCAATGGATCGGTGGCAAGCCACTTTCCTTTCAATAGCTCCACAAATCTTGATCATCAAAGCCCACTGGTATTATAATATTTTCGTGTTGTCATCTTTCCAACATCCTTTTTCAGCAAGACTTGTGAACACTTGATAAATTACAGCCAGAAGGTATTGCGGTCATAAAATGGGTTTCATGAGAGCTGCATACGCATGCTTTTTGTCATCTGCAAGATTTTTGGAGGGGGGGGTATCACTATTAGTCAATTATCTGAGCTTAAGGCTAGAGATCCATAACAGGGATAGAGATTACAAATGTACATGTAAATCAATCTACTCACACAGGGCAAGGAGGTAATACATGGAGAGGAAAGCTGCAAAGGGTCAGAAAGGTCTAGAGTGGGGGAAGTACATGTGATTGCTCAAAGGAGTATCACAAATAAAAATGCAGATGTTGGCATTCTATTTGAACATTAACATTATACCTCTGCTAGTCTAATTTTTCCACCCACTCCAAATCTGTCCTGGTCACCCCCTTGAATTCACTCTCCTCCAACACTCAGCTTAACAATTTAACAAGATGAGAAATCCAGAGATGGAACCACTCGAAAAACAACATGAATACCATGCACAGAACTTGACTGAAAGCTGTAACATCACAAGTCACCTTAATTTCCAATAAACCACATCCTCCTACAACCTGTACCTCATTGGGCTTGTGATTTCCCCTTTCATCACCTCCCACCATCACATTTCAAAACATCCCCTGCAAGTGCACAATATACAGACCCCATCAGGCATTTAGTAATGGCTATACCATTTCCTTCAGAATAACCATTTCCAGCTGGATCAAGCCAATCAGTTGCTGGTAGACTCTAGCAATTTGTCTAATGACTCAAATCACTCAAATCAACCAAAACAGTTGGTGAAACTCAAGATGTCAGATGCTCAACTTCAATCAACTGGTTTACTGCCTAGGCTGTTGGCAATGGGACAGTCAACATCTGCATTTTCTATCAGTAATGCTTTCATAGAAGAGCGAAGTGAAAAATGCAAAGAAGACAGCATAACATTGCACTTGTAAAAGTGAGCCTTTTCTTAACAGTTATGATGGCAAGAACTGCACATGTAATGTTTGTATAGTTACATGTACATGTATTTCTTTGGAGGAGCTCTGGATAAAAAGCATGTAGGTAGAATTAAAAACCTTCAAAAAGCATTCCATTACACAAACTGACAAAATAAGCAACAATTCACCTGACAATACATGTTCTTAATCCATTTATGACATTTAATGTGCATGCACTTAGCAGGTGTTGGATTCAAATAAAAACAGCTTTACTATGGCTGTGCAAACATTTGACTCGTGGTTCACACACTTGCTTCTCTATGCAACCAGCCCACAGCAAACAAACCTGGGTCTGGCCCTTAGTGGTTGACAGGCACACTCAGGAAGGTCAAAAACCTCTCAAATCAAGTCTCTCACTTCGTTTTGAGAATCTCAAGTCTGTAAAAAGTCAATGCAGACAAATTTTTCTGCAAAATGTTTACAATATACCTTTTACAATCCCAGCCTTATGAGGAGTAAAAGGAGGAATTGATGAGTTTATTTAAATTTTATTCAGATGCAAACGTCGATGTAAATGTTAAACACAAAGTAACAAAGCTGCACTTCACATTTTGCCATGAGTGATCATACTTGTAATGTCAAATTGCTTTCAAATGGAGCATCTGTGTAGTACTGGCTTGTCTAAAGTGCAAGTTAGTCAACACGAAGGAATCAGTAAACCGACCAAGGCTTTCCTTCATGCAGTTTGTTTCTTCCTACGCCAAATAAACATATGGGCACAGTGTGATAGCAGAATCTGGATGTCACAATGTAAACATGGGTGAAAAGTACATGTAAGTGTTATCTTTACCCAACAAACCACACTGTGTACATGTATTTGAGAACCCATCCTAACTTGCTTACAAGTACCGCAACAATGAAGAGGATGTTGGTTGGAATTTTTCCCATTGATCCAAAAATGGGCTCGTTATGGCAATAAGGGATACTCCCTCATTAACACTCTCATTGTAAATACATGTAGTCTTTTTAATACTTTTGTTAATTGATACCATTCCTGTAAGTGGCGGTTCTTCCACTGTTGGATGTGGTGAATAAAGAAATAAAATAAATCAATTCAGTCTAAAACTGACACAGTAACAGCACTGAATGGGAGTTTTAAATTCTATTTGGACAACTCCCTAAAGCAAGAACATGCAAGTCACACTGAGAAAAAATTAAAGCCTTTTTAGAAAGACAAAACCAGACCAAAACCCACTATCATTCTCTGAAGAGATCATACCATTTTCCAACCAGCACATGTATTTTTAAATGGTTAAAAACTTATGACATATTCACTTTAGTTCACTGTTGCTTTGCTTTAACATGCACTTTAAACTAACCCCAAGGGTGTATGTAAAATCGTATTGAAATTGGAGGATTTGGGACTGTTGGGGTTAATTCATGTATGTACATGTACATATATCTACCCAATTTCACATACATATGAAATCCAAGACTTGGTTTGAGAGTGCAGACAATGCTGTATTGTACATTTATATACAGGAGTGGACAGCCTGTTTGAGTTCCATGTTTGCACATAGCGGCGTGGCTAAAGGGTGGGATGCTGCATGTAGGGAACATGGCTCCCCCATGAAAAATGGTCATCCCAGTCACCACTCCCCCCTTGCATATCCTGATGTAATCACGATTATGTACATGTATATGTACGTCCAACATCCAGTCAGCTCCCCCGCTTGAGCATGAAGCCCCCCACTCGCCCCCATGCTCAGAATCTTGGCTACGCCACTGTTTGTACAGCATACCAGTAAGCTATGTTCCCATTGGACTTTTTTGGTTGTCTTATAGCAAACTAACGTCCCTGTCAACCTTCCGCGATCGTGATGTAA